TATCTAGTGACATCTTCAAATTCTAGGCTCTAGAATTTAAAGAAGAGCGGGCATTTCTGAAAGAACTGAAAGGAAAGAGGTGGCAGTCACAGGACTCCAGGGCATCACATGTGGATGGGAGAATGAGGGAGAAGTCAGCCCTGCCTGTACAGCTGTCTCATGTGTGGCCTCCAACTGAGTATAAATTTCCATTTAACACTCACTCCATTGTCAATTTGGAATCAAAAGGAAAGGCAGGATTCCCTATTGCCAGGTGGGTGTGTTTTCAGAGAGGCAGGATTTCCCCTAAGCCACCAGTGGCGAAAGGGACTGCGAGTGACGTACTGTGCAGAGTCCTGAGGCATCCCGCCCGCTTCCAGGCCAAGGCAGTGACGGTGTGTAAGTTGGCAATCTCCTTGGGCTTCGCCTCTACCCAGATGCTTCTTCGAGGACTCCAGTTGATCACCGCAGTCTGAAATAAGGTAGAGGTTTTTAGAAGAGATAGAGGCTCAGCAAAAGCATGAAAATAAGCTTCTGACAGAAATTAGATTGGCTATATCAGAGAAGAAAGGGAATACAAGAAAGTGAATAAGCTGGGCAGTTTAGCAGAGAGAACAAAAGGGGCAAAGGAAGCTGGAAAATAAAGGCAAAATTAAATGAAATAAGTAACAGGAGTGGAGAAAACAAAAGATCAGGGCAAGTGAGACAAACCAACTGTCATAGTAGAGAAATATGGGAAAAGAAAAGAGAAATGGTAGGAGTTAGAGAAGAAAGAAACATGAAACATAAGAGTGCAGGGGACAGAAAGACAGGACTGACAAAGTTGGGGTAAAGCATCCTTCAAAGAACTGATGGGACTCAGGAGGCTGAGGCAGGGGAATTGCCGTGAGTTTGAGGCCAACCTGGGTTACCTAGTGAGTTCAAGGCCAGCCTGAATTACAGAGCAAGAATGTCTCAAAAACAAAACAAAACAAAACCCAAAAAACTGATGGGACTCAGACCCTCACTGTTTACCTGCTTTCCATTCATTCATTCACTCAAACACTGACTACATACTATGCACTAGATGCTAATCTAGGCACCAGGGATAAAAAGAGAAATAATAAGCCCTGTTCTCAAGGACTCTTTAATATAGCCAGATATGTACAAGCAAGGCATGATAATGTATTGTGATAAACTCCAAGCCAGTGATCTGAAAGAGGCAATGGGAACACACAGACAATGGTGATGAATTCTGCCTTGGAATCCTTGGAGAAGTACAGAGACAAAACGGCTAGCACGATGCATTTACAACTGCTGGCCCCTGCCAATGGATGGTGGGAGTAGGAAGAAGAAAAGGCATGAATTACAATCTGAGAATCCCTGAAACATACACTTCATTTTGTCCAGGCTTCTATTCCTGCTGAGAGTAATTTGGTCAGGCAGAGAGTTTACAGGGAAAGGGTACCCACTGTCATAACTTCTCAGGACAACAGACTGGCCCCCAGGACTCGCTGCAGCCTTGGTGAACTCCCGCTCCTGCGGGTCCTGGCTGTAATCAAAAGTCTGCAGCATGTGCCCTTCCTTTCCACAGGCCACAGTCTTCCGGTCACAGCCAGCAGCCACAATGCTACTGGTTGCCCAAGCCAAGGCATACAGTGGGCATGGGTGGTTAACCAGCTTCCCTTCAGACAGAAGGAAAGGGTTTCAGTCATACTTTTAGGGCTCCAACCCAGAAATTCCTCATCCAGACACCAAGGACACAGGTTGGGAAGCAGAAGGGTGGATGCTTCATACTTGCTGGGAAACGGAGTAGCCAATGAAGATGCTGCCTTCTGGGACGTCCAAGGACACAGTGGCCGAGTTGGCTTGGGGGTGAGTGACCTCACATTCCTCTCACTCACTGCTCACAGGAAGCCCAGGTCACAGCTGACCAGCAGCTCATATCTGGGGCTCAGATATGAGGAGAGATGACGAGAGGGGCATCAGGGAAGCCATGGTCCCACCGAGTCCGCTGGGGGGCACTGGGGCATGCGCTTCACATCCAGGCGGAGCTCCTGGAGGGGGCGAGTATGGGGGTCAGGGGCTGCCTCGCTGGGCAGCAGCTCTCCCGGGCTCCCCGCGGCCCAGGGCAGCCCCGTTTCCCCCCGCCGGCCCCAACCCTCAGAACCTGGCGCCCCCAGTGCGAGCTCCCCAGGCGCACATCCACCTCCACCGGCCTTCGGGCAGGTCAGGCCTGGGGGGCTGCTCGGAGCCCAGAGGGCGGCCCATCGCCCCGCTCAGAGGCGCCGTCCCTAACCCATCCCGGAGCGGGCGGGAGAGGCGGGAGGCGCGGCCAGAGGCGCGGGCCGGGGGCAGAGCTGGGTGCGTGCGGGCCGCGGGTCTGCGGGGCCCCCGAGCGCAGGCGTCCGGCCCCTGGCCGCTGGCCTCGGTCCCCAGTGCGGAGGGCAGTGCGGCTGCCTGGTCGGCCCCGCAGCGGGACGTAACCGTCCCGGCGCGGGATGATGCAGCCTTCCGCAGAGCCGGCTCCGCGCGCTCCGCCCCTCGCGCAGGGGTTCTCGCCGCCGTTAACCCCGCCCCACACCCGGCTCCGGGGCTCCGCCCACGACCCCCCCAAGTGGCGGCTCGGCCCCGGCGCTCTCTCCGCTCTCCAGCCGGAGGGACTAGCGGGGCGCGCACCCGCGCGCGGGCGGGCGGGTGCGGGGTCTCGGCACCTGGCGGCGCCCCCTTTTCCGGGATGGCGTTAGAGGAGTTCAGAGGAGGAATTCCTTCTTGGGTGTGGGAAGGGGCTGACCGGAGAGGAATCGGAGTGGTCGACATCATTGTTTTACCCATCTCATACTTGTAGACTGCGTCAGTTTAAGTCTCTTTCCCATTCATAATCTGATTTGGTTCTGTTCATTTTCTCATTCATTGTTGCATTTATTCAGCCAAATTTAGTGAGCAGCCCCTGTATGTCTGGCGTTAGGTTAAAGGCTGGAGACAAGGCGACTGACTATTAGTGCTGGGCTTATAGGGAAAATTGGAGACCAAAGCTGGAGACACGTGTTCCGCGGCCCCCCTCCTGTGTGGTTTAGGAAAATTGGTTTATCTGCACCTCAAGTCTCCCACCTGTAAAGCACAGCTTATGAATGAAGCCTCGCAGGGTTGTGGAGAGGATCGAATGAGACAATTTGGGGAAAGACCTTTCTAAATCTTACAGTACTGTGTGAGTCAGTGATTATTATTGGTTGACTCTGACTTGTTAGTTGCTTCATTCATTCAATAAGCACATAAATGTTTTAAGTTATTTCATGCTTTGGCTGAGTATGATACCTGGAGAATTTGAGTGTCTTAGTTGAGCCAGCTGTATGATCTTGAGCAATGACTTCACTGCTCTGAGTCGTTTCACTGCCTGTAAAATGGGGCTGTTGATATTGACTTCCGAGTGTTGATGTGGCCGGTAAGGTACAGGTGGATGAAAAGTGCAAGGCTCAGTGTAAATAAACAATGGCTAACACTGTATTTAGGGCAGGTTCCTTGGTTCTCATGCTCATTGCAGCATTTCTATTTCTGTGGCATTTTTTTCTCCTGTGATACCCAGTTTAGTGCTTGCACACCTGGGCTCTGAAGCTTCTGTTTGCTTCTGAGAAGAGAGGGTAAAATGGCCCAGGGGGGCAGGGAAAGACAGTGTGTGCTGAGTTTGTGATCAAGACATGGCCCGGGTCATCTGACTTCTGCTGACCCCAGGACCCTGACCTCTGGCCTCCCGGGGCACCCTGGTCCCAGAGCACTCTTGCCCAGGGATTCTCACTGGCCTGAGTGTTGTCCTGCCGGCCCAGGCTCTAGGCTTTCCAGAGGTGAGGGCACTGTGCCCAGAGGGAAAACACAATGAGCCTCCAGTCCATCTCTTCGGGGGCCAAACAGAGGTTGGCAAGTTGAGGTGCAGGCAAAGAGGACCAGGGGCTCCCCGGATGGCTGGGGGCCTGGTGACCAGGACAGGATGGTCCAGGAAGAAATGCAGGGGATGGTGCTCCGAGAGGCCAGTGCTCCTAGAGTAATCATCTCTGTGGCTCAGATAAGCCTCTGCCAGCTGGAAGCAGAGTCACTGTGACCAGAGGGGTTTGTGTGGCTAAAGAGGCAGACAGGACAGTGTGACCACAGCAGGGGACCATGCCAAGCACAAAACGGTTTCAACATGTGATTGAGACCCCCGAGCCTGGCGAGTGGGAGGTGAGACCCCTCTCGGTTTTGGTCTTTTGCACTGATTCCTAGAACTGTTCTTTTTACCTGGACTTCCCTTCTCCCTGGGTTTCTGCTCCCACACACACCTCCCTTTCCCTCCCACCTCCCCCTGATCTTCCTTCCCTAATAGCCCAGAGCACCAAGTGCAGGTTAAGTGCCTGGTGTGGTGTGGTGTGTGTGTCTGTGTATAAGAGAGAGTCTGAACACTGTGCCCGCTGCCACTCCCACCCCAGCTCAGCAGGCACAAATGAAGCTTTGGCTTCTTGTCCCTATGTTTGTCCCCACTTTTTTGTAGCTGTCTGGGTATGAGGCAGCTATGCCGATCACAGAGAAGTCAAATCCACTGACCTGGGACTTGGACAAAGCAGATGCTGGGAAAATCGTTCAGTTGCTGGGGCAGTGTGATGCTGAGATCTTCCAGGAGAAGGGGCAAGGCATGCCTGCCTACCAGTTAACCCAGGCTCATCCCCTGGACACCGAGAAGAAAGATGCCTTCCCCATCTCCGCCTCAGCCTCTGCCCTCCCAGACCATTTCTCCTGGTTTGGAAACTCTGAGAGCCCTTTCTCCTTCCACTGCAATTTACACCCTCCTTTCTTGGCTTCTGATTTCCACCTGCTCCCTGCAGCGACTGTACAGCGAATCAGTTCTGACCACCATGCTGCAAGTGGCCGGGAAAGTGCAGGAAGTGCTGAAGGTACTGACCCCCACTTGTTCTCTGCCTAATCTCCTATTTCCCTCTACTTTCTCTGTTTTGATCACCATCCTTCACTTCTGTAGATCTTACTTCTCCATCCTCCCAGTCCTTCCTTTTGGATCCTTATTGTCATCTTATTAATCAGTAACAATTATAATAACATTAGCTAAATTAGAATTGACAGTGCACTTCCACACTTATTACCCTCACACAAACGTGCGAAGTTGATGTAATTGTCTCTAGGTTTCTTTATATATACAGACACACACACACACACACACACACACACACACACGAGGGAAAACAAAGACTGAGGAAAATCACAATAGCTTGCTGAAATGCACCCAGCTAATAATTGTTGGATAATGCCACTTTTACTGTAAAATTTTTATTTAGGTGACTATGTTGTTGTCAGTCCCTTCCAGAATAAATAAGGGGTTGATAAGCAGTTAAACCAGAGATGGGAGTCATATTCCAGTTTCTTTCTCCAATCCAGTGTTCTTTCTGCTGCCCCTCAGGGCCTGTATTTTATTCAACTTTGTGATGAGAGGAAGGATAAAGGAGGCCCTTTAAGTTCTCTTCCATTACTAACAGAGAAAAGAACATATTTCCCTTGGCCTAGCTGGGCCATGGTGACCTAGGCATCTTTCCTTCCTCAGGAGCCAGATGGGGGGCTGGTGGTGCTGAGTGGAGGGGGCACCTCTGGATGGATGACATTCCTCATGTCGGTGAGTACCCTGGTCCGATTTTCGTCAGTCTCCCTCTGGGGATAAGCCCTAAGACCATGAAGCTCATCATACATCATAGTTAATTTCTAGGTGGGCTCTCTCTTTCTCTTCTCACCATGGATCTCATTTCTCCTGAGCCCACTGAGACTCCGCCAGTCTGTTGCTAATGTCCCTACACCCCACACATCCCTAAAAAAAAGAATGGGGTTGTACATCTACCTCGTGCCTCTCCAGTTCCTGGATTCCCCACTGAACACAAACTTATACTATGGAAATGCAATACAAGCATCTGTTTTGTTATGTCTTTTTTTTTCTTTTTTGGTACTGGGGATCAAACTGGAGTCCTTGTGCTTGCTAGGCAGGCGGCGAAACCACTGAGCTAAATCCCTGGCCTTATTTTGTTATTAAAACTCCGCCCAACCATCCTTACATGGAGGAGGAGCCCTGGGCAGCGGGTTCCCTAGAGCCCGGGGGAGGCGAGGTCACAAGGGGCCCGGAAAGTTTGAGCTGCGGGAGAGCTCAACGCACCACCCGGTGAGCCAGCTGCAGACACCAGTGAGCGCTGGGCTCTGGACCTGGCTCTGCAGGAGAGAAAGCCCCACGCTGCAGGGGCAGGGAAGGTGGGATGTGTTCCCTCCCCCACCACAGGGAGCCCCGTGACCACAGCCCAGGATGCTTCCAGGAGAAGTGTAACAAATGTATTTAACTCAAGTTTTTCATGACTTTGGAGTCTTCAGAAATGAAGACCCGGGGAAAACTATTTATTTGTTAGACTATTTTTATCCTTAGATTGGTAAAGGATGAGCAGCTGTGTGTGTACGGAGAGATGTGGATGGACAGAGAGGTCTGACCTGGCGCTAATGCTTCCTGAGGTCCGCGGCTTCACTCTTCCCGTTTCTCCGCAGCGTCTGTCTCTGTTGGGCGCAAGACAGAGTCTCGGGAAGAAACTCCCAACCTCCCGATGTCAGATTTTGGGAGTTCGTGTCCCCCCACCCCCAAGGGTGGATTCCAGGCCAGAGGGGATTAAGACTAGGAAAAGTAAGAGAGATAGGAGGGGTTCTGAAAGTGGGAGGTCTCCGAGGCTCTTTGTCCAGGGGTGATTTATACTCAAAATCACAACTCGGGTAACTATGGGTCAAACCACAATCAACCCATAGGATTACAAGTATAGTTGCTTAGCTAATATTGATCCAGTAAGGAAGGGAAGCTTGTAGTATTGCAGATAGTAAGTTAATTAAATATCTTGTAGACAGTTAGACAGGGCCAGACCATGAGGAGCCAAGATGGAGGAGAGTGAAGACACATACACTGAAGGCCGGGTTGTAAAAGGAGAGTAACTACCACACCACGTAGGATGAATAGCACTGATTGATATTCTAAATAGGTATCAATCACCTGGGTGGGGCACCAAGGTCTTCCAAGAAAGATCCCTGACCCACCCCTTACCACTGAAAAATCCTTGCTCATTCCTTGTATGCTTGCTACATGACTTGTTTCCCCATTTAATCAATGTTACCTGAGCAAGTATACTTGTCATAATCTTATTGGTTGTTCTTAGTTTTGTCCACCTTGTGATTTCTCATTGAATCAATATTACCTAAGTGACTGTACTTGTAATCTTATTAGTTGACTATAGTTTTGTCCTACCTTGAACCCGCCTCACCTCATGGTTTTGTCCCATAAAACACCTTTGAGAATCAGGGTGAGGGGGGAACCCATTTTCTGGTCCCCCTTCTGTTTTAGAAGCTATCTTTTGTAAGCCTGCTGTCCTTACCAAATGCTCCAAGGAGCTGACTGCAGCGAAGAACACGCGGGAAGGAACACACCCCGGACAAGTTGGAGAGTAAAACAGACCTTAATCTGGCCAGACGGCACTCCCAAAGCAAAGTAGCTTAGAGAGGCAATCAGCCCAGCGTCCGAGGCTCTTTTTATAGGGGGTTGCAGGGAAGTTAACAGGCGAAATTTACAGAAGAGGGAACAAAGGTTAGTGCTTTTACATTTGTATGTTAATTAGCCTGACATGTACTGATGTTCAGCAGATGTTTTGTAGATTGTTCTATAGATAGCGGTGTCTGGAACATCAGTTTTGAACAAAGAGTTGAATAATTATGGCTGATACAGATCTTATCTAGTGTCCCGGAACTAAGAAGCATCTTTATCTATTTACTCACATTCAATCACAGTTGGGGCTAGGGGAGTTTTATGATTACAGAGTTATGCAGTCCCACATTTTCGCTCAATAAATTTTTCCTGCTTTTT